CTGCAAAATTTGAAGTTCAGGTTCAGGTTCAGGTTCATTGAACCTGAACCTGAACTGAACTGAACCTAGGAACCCTAACATTGATATACTTTACACTACATATGATGTTCCACTTCAGTATGTAAAAAAATTTTTTGATATATTGAAAACTGTAGAAATAGGAATATATAAATTCAATAGTTAATAATTATAAAAAGAATAACTACACTTTATTCAAATGAGAAAATTTTTTTGTCGGTCTCTATCTACTAGGAAGTTTCATATTCAAAATTCTAACCAAGTTCGCAAAACTTAATTGCTTAAAAAAAAAAAAAGAACTTGTAAAATTTGGATAACGTTAAAAAATTTGGGTAAAATTTATCAAGATAAATAGTTACTCAAAATATTTGGCTTTTATGTGACGTTGAAAAAAGCAAATATATAAAAATAAATAAAACGGCTATTATTAGCTGTTTGGGATATTCAGAGTTCGGTTAACGTTAAATAAATAGAAATAAGCGCACAAAGTACGTATCGATATCATCCCTGCATGCGCGCAATCGTACCTATGCATAATGTGAATTTAAGTGCTTGTATTACAAAAAATAAAGAATTCACGATTTAAACAAAAAGTGAAATTTGAACAAAACTAGCATTTCTGAATATATAATGAATAAAGGTGAATTCGGAAATAAATTGTCATTTTAAACTTAATTTAACCTATTGCTATAATTAAATATTCAGATGCAATTGCATAATCTATATATATATATATATATTTAATTATAGTCTCTTTTTTAAGTAAAACTTATTCAGGTAATCTTCAATCGTCATCGGATCTGATCAGATCAACCATAGGTTTAAAAATAATTATCCAATCCTATCCACACACGGAACATACGGACACTAGCAAAAATGAACAATCTTTGTTAAATTCTAAAGAAAACCTCTGAATTTATTATTCTGCTTCATTCCAGATAATTATATATTCACCTTCTAAAGGCCTCTATATTATGAGTTCTTTTGCATACTGTAGGAAGTTTCGACGATGCTTCTTTGAAGATAGAGAGTTTGTTTCTATTGTGATACCGATACAGTATAAGTTTATATTAAAAATAGAAGGATGCGCGCACGCACGTACGTTGTTACAATAAAAGTCTGGTGATATTTCATTAATGATACTGTTATTAGACAATACCAGCTAGTTTGTGTACGTGTTTAAATAATATGCTATTACCCAGTTAATCATCGGATTATTTTTTCTTTTTAAGGAAATGTAGTAAAACAACCATGAGCTGTAATTTACTTTTCTAGAAGATCAACCATCAACTAAAATAACCATTCGGTACTAAAATAAGAAAGAAAAAAAAGGCGAATTAGAAATTCTTGGCAAAGCAAATTTCGCCAAGACATGACTATTAAATTTCAAAAAAAAAAAAAACTTTTATTTTTATTGCTCTTGTTCGCCTTCGAAACTGTATTGTAACCAATACAATTATTTGAAGAAAAATAAGAATACGACTATACACTAATGACTTCGAACGGCGACGGTAGCAATGCAACTAAATTGTCGGACACAAATTCTGAAATTTTAAATCCATTAGAACTCGAAAGTTCATCCAATTTTATCACTGCAATTAGTGTCAATGATAATTATTCTGAAGAAAGGCGTCCACATACACCATTATCTTACCAAACATTGCAGAATGAGTTTAATTTTGATGAAAGTTCTGTATCAACTAAGCAAGAACAAATTTATCACAATTTTCAAACAATTAAAACGAATCCATCAAAAAATTCACCCTTTTCATTGTCTAATCTATTATCTCATGAATCTTTAAATTTCTCCATTCAATCGACAATTCCGCATAATAATTCTACACCAAATTTATCAACTTCGCGAATTACTCATAGGACTTTATCGATGAGCTCTCGGATAAAAAATTTTATTGGCAATAGAGTGAATGCTATAAACGCTTATGTAAAGACTTTATTAGATCTTATTAGGAGGCGTAAACAGAAAGCTTTAAGTCGTCAATTTTTAATAAATCCGGATCGTAAGGAGCCTGTTTTAGATATTATAACAAATATTCCTTACACAAATAATTCCATTACTACATCCCGATATACGTTTTATAATTTTCTCCCAAAACAACTTTACGCTCAATTTTCTAAAGGTGCAAATCTTTATTTCTTATTTATGGCTGCTCTTCAGATCGTACCAGATTGGTAAGTTTTGCAAAAGAAAAAAAAAAAAATTATTATTTTTTTTAATCGAATTATTCGATTTATATGATGTGAATTTATTATATTTTATTTTCAAGGTCTCCTACAGGGCAATTTACAACAATAGTACCTCTTAGCATCTTCATTTCTCTATCTATGGCTCGTGAAGGTTTTGATGATTACCGAAGACATAAGCAAGATTTTACTGAAAATAATAAAGAGTGCGCTGTATTTCATAAATGTGATCCAGATGGATCATGGAAAAATGAGAAATGGAAAGATTTAAAAGTTGGTGATTTAATATCAATTAAAGCTCAAGAATGGGTTCCTGCAGATGTGTTATTACTTTCTT